TACACATACACATACCTGCATACACACTTCCACATACACACACACACACACACACCTACACAGACACACACGGACACACACACAAGCCATCCAGGGGCTCCCTGGATCCCCAGTGCCTCCTGCCCCTTGCCTGCCATGCACCCTACTCTGGGCTTCTCCAAGCCTCCCTGTCCCACCAGGCCCACCTCCAGCCCACCTCTACCTGGCTGTCCCAGGCCCATGAGCTACCTTGTCAGCTGGTGTGTACAATCTCAGCTCTCAGAGGTCGAGCACAACGGGCTCCTTTCCACAGGCCCCCAGGATGTCAGAGTTAAGGATCGTGAGGTCTGACCCCCTTGTGTTGGGGGAAGGGGCCCCCAGACAGGAGATGGCAGAGCCAGGACTCCCCAGTGGTGGAGTAGGAAGGAATGATGGAGGCCAGGGTTGCTCAGTCACTGCCTGTCTCAGAGCCTCAATTTCTACATCTGTAAAATGGAAATAATGGTCTCTGTACTCCCTGCCTCTCAGGGCTATTGTGGGGAAATAGAATCCAGTTGGTCAATGCTGTGATTGACTACTGGCTGGTCTGCCTAGAGGCTGGAGGGGAGGGCCGGCCGGAGCTGGGTCCAGTCACTCTGGAGGAAGGGAATCTGTTGCATCCTGTCTCTCCCGTGGGCGAGGGGAGTGACTCCGCAGATCTCCTCAGGGTAATGAGTAACCGAGTTGTCCAGCAGGGACAAAGTCTTTGTCCTTGAACCTGCGACTTAGAACACCCATTGTCCACCTAAGAACTAGGGACGTCACCCAGGGCCGGCTGCAGGAAACGGACCAAGGAGCCTGGGGGAGGGGGAACCTGAGGAGCCCAGGAGGCAGGCTCGGAGCCCTCTGAACCCGAGGAGTGAGCCAGGAAGGACCAGTCCTAAGACCATCCCCCTTCTTTCCATGGATCGGGAAACTGAGGCCCAGAGTGGGCAAGTCACTGTGCGGTGGGAGGCCTCCCAGGCCGTGAGCAGCAAAGCCCGGCGCTTCTGGTCGCCAGTCAGCCGGTCAACAAGCATTTACATGTGCCAAGCACTGAGCTGAGTGATGAAGATACAAGAAGCAGGCAGAAAGGGTCCTGCCCGCTGGGAGCTCCCATTCTAGTGCTGCCCCTTACCCACCAGCCCTAGCCATCATCCTTGGCGGGTGATTATCCCCATTTCCAGATGAGGAAACTGAGGCTCCATTGCCACCCAGGGAGGAGGCTCCTGGTCCCTGACTTCTCGGCCCTACTTCGAGGCTGTAATACTTTCCCGCATTGGAGATCGAAGCCCCGACATGGGGTACAGATTCCTGGGAATGCTCAGGCTGCTCTGGAGCTGGCATTTCTGAAGCCGCCTCCAGGTGTCAGAAGGCGGGGCTGTGGTGGTTTAAATTTCCTCTCTCCACCCTTGGAACCCAAGAAACTTTCCCCTGGAGACCCAGCCTCCTTCCTTCTCCTCCTCTCCCTCCAGGCTGAGTCCCCGCCCAGCACAGCACCATCCAGGCAGGTGGCCCGCAGTCAAGAGGACTTTGGCAGCCAGGGTGCCCAGCTGCAGCTGAGCGGGTCCCCTGCTGCCTCCCCTCTTCTCAGGTCCCTCCTGTAGTCTATGCCAGCAGCCGGGACCCCAGCCAGGCCAGGATGCAGGAAGACGCCCACCTCCAGCAGGGGAGGAAGGCCCAGGGAGGCCTCCGGAAGGAGACCCCAGCCTCTCCAGGAGACATGGGCCGACAGTTTGTCCTCCGGGTAACCTACCTGCTCACTGCTGTGGAGTTCACCTGCCTCTTCATGCAGTTCTCCATTTTGCCGGTGAGTAGTCCTGCTGGGGGGTGGGGCCTGGCGGTGGGAAGGGGACCTAGCCCAAGGCCCTTTGGGAGGGCAGCTAAGTGCCAGCCAAAGCTCCCTCCCATAGACGTCTGAACAGGGTTGGACATGGGCCAAGGGCAGAGCTCGGATGAACCAGGGCTGCTGTTGTGGGGGAGGGAGGCTCGTCCTGGGCAAAGATGCACTGGAAGGAGCCCTGGGTGTGGAGTCACAAGACCTAGGTTCTAGAATAGGCTCCTCCATGAACTCTGTGGATGACCTCAGACAAGTCCCTTCACCCCCAGGCCCCAGGCCCCGGGCCTCTCCAATCCGTCAGGCTGCCTCTCCATGTCCTGCTCAGGGGCTCACCTGTAAGGGTAGTGTAGCCCACTAGAGGCGCACTGGCCAGGAGACCAGACACCCGCATTCAAGGCTCAGCCCTGCCATGAATTGGTTGTGTGATCTTGGACAAGACACGTGCCCTGTCTGGGCCTCAGTTTCTTCACCTATAAAAAGGGTACCCTGATGCCCGTCCTACCCCTTTCTCAAGGCTGCTCTGCTCACCAAACGAAAGCACGGTCCTGAAAGCCCTCTGTAGACTGGACAGCTCCTCCCCCCGGCTCCCCAGTGGGGTCCCCAGGGGTGGGAGGGCCCTCAGAGGTGGCTGATGGAGGAGGGAACCGAGGCCCGAATGTGGAGAACGTCACCCAGAAAAGTGCCTTGCGCCAGAGCTGGGCCTCAGCTCTTAGGTCTCCTGATGTCCCACATTGAGGAGGGTGGGGGCTAGTCAGCAGCTGGCATGTGGGTTTGGGCATCAGGGCAGGGCAGGGCAGGGGGGCTCAGAGGGAGGTCCAGTCAGAGTCCCCTGGGTTCCCCAGGATTCTCTGATGTGACTTTTCCCCCAGAGCAATGAGTGAAATGACCCAGCCCCATTCATTCCTGGCTCCCTGACTGCCCGGCTGAGAGACCTTGACCAAGTGCCAGAGGCCCCTCCTTTGGAAAAAGATGGGCTTAGATTTGGTTGGAGTGAATGAATGTCCAAGCACCCAGGTGGCCCATGCCCTGCGCCCTGACCTGAACTCTAGGGACAGAAATAGAACCATCATACAGTCTCTGCCCTGGAGAAGGTCCGGTGGTCCTGAGGGGGCTGCCACAGAACCGCTGGGCAGGCCCTCACTGTCATCTTCTGCCGCTGCCCCCAGGCTGGTGCCAAGGACTCTGCCAGTGAGAACCTTCGTTTCTGGCTCTTCCTACAGCTGCCTTGGTGCCCACGTAGCGAGGCCACGGGTCCCAAGTCCACGGAGGCTGTGTCCCCAGACAGGGTTGGTGGTCTGGCGGTGCCTGGGTTTTGCTGTTAGTGTCCACTGAGGCTAGAATGCCCCTCGGGCCCTCCCCACCTGTCCCGCCTGGACACTGCAGCCTTCCCCCCCACAACCCACCTGCCCTGCCCACTGGGTATCCCCCCTCCTTGCACTCTTGGAAACCAGACCCTCCCCACAGGGCTCCAGGCCCGGGCCTGATCTCTCCTCGGGCCCCTGAAAGCACTAGGCCGGGAGGAGGTGGCTGTATGTCCTGGCTTCCGCTGCCTCCTCCGGGGGGCTCATGTGTTCATCTTTATCACCACCCCTTCCTCCCCGGGACGTCTTGTTAGCTGTCCAGGCTGCCCAGCTCCCATGGGTGCCCTGGCCTCTCCCTGACCCTGACCTCCACGCTTTCAGCCTTTCCGGCTCCTTCCCTCCCCCATACCCACCTTTCATCCTCACTGTGACTTCCAAGGCTTCCCACCCTGTGTTCTCCCACCCACCTCCCAGCTTGGCCTTTCTTCCCCATGATCCTGGCCCTGACGCTCAAAGACTATCAGTTTGAGATTTAGGGGAGGTGGGGCCTTCGAGGGCATATAGTCCAACCCTTTTTCTTGGAGGAAACTGAGTCCCAAAGATAAGTGACTTGCCCAGGGTTACAGTGTGCGAACTGGGCCTTCCTGACCTCAAGCCTACTGCTCTCCCCACTGCCCCACACTGCCTCATGTTAACCGATTAGCCAGAGGCTTCATGGTCCTTTGACCCTTGTGCCTTTGTCCTAACACTGGCAACATCTGGCCCAACCCCAAACCTGTGCTACCCCAACATCTGCCTTCCTTGTTCCAATCTCTGCTGCTGATGGAGCCGCTGGGGTGCTCCCAAGGGCACGTTCTCAGAAGGGCCCTCCCTACCGCACGGGACAGCCTGGGAGTCTGGCCTGAGGACTCCCCTCTCGCACTCTCCACTGATGACCCCCCAAGCCTTCTCTTCTGTCCCTAAAGCTCAGATGCCCCTTCCTAGCGGAGGAATCGTGGCCTACCTCCGGGAGACCGTCCACAGTGCGCCTCTCCCCTCCCAGGGCCATACATCAGGACATCTTGGCACTGCCCCCACTCTCCCCTCTTGGCTCCGGTCTCTGGGGGGAGAGATGGGCCTTCTCCTCCCCACGGCCAAGGCCTCACCTGTGCTCTTCATCCCAGGCCTTCCTGTCACCTTTAGAAGCCTGCCCTGGCTTTGCCTCCTCCTCCATCTTGCCCTCTCTCCTGGCTGCCCACAAGCATGCCCAGGCCTCCTCTGTTCTAAAACATGTTCAGCTTTCCTGGGTCTTCTTTGTGCACTCTCTCTCTCTCTGTCTGTCTGTCTCTCTCTCTCCCTGCCTCAGTTTCCTTACCTGTAAAAGAGGATGAGTAATTCCTGCCCAACCTTTCTCAGAGGTCATTAGGACAGCTTGGTAAGAGAAGGGATGGTAAAGCCTTCTAGAAGCCTGATGCCCTGCAGACAATAAGAGATGGTGTGCTTTTTGGGTTTCAGTATCTGGCGAAGGACCTGGGCCTGGACTCCGTGGGCTTTGGCTACCTACAGACCCTCTTTGGGGTTCTCCAGCTCCTGGGAGGCCCTATTTTTGGCAGGTAACATAACTCTCCCTCCTAAGAGAAGGGGGCCATGCCTTCTGAGGCACCCCCATTGCCTGCCTTCCCTGAGGAAGAGAGAGCACAGAGGGACGGGCCGGGGGTTGCTGGGGGAGCTGGGGGAGAGGGGGTGTCTCTGAACTGGGCCTCAGTGGATCTGCGTTCTTCATCTCAGTGCTGAGTTGAATTTGATGGGTGACCTGGGCAGGTGAGCTCCCTTCTCTGGGCCACATTTCTCCTGCCTGTAAAAGTCTGGGACTGGACTCAATTAGCTCTGAGAGGTCTCCTTGCTCTGCCTTCTAGAGGCTAAGCCTGAGTGCTTCCCTTCCCTCCAGGTTTGCAGTGAGGGGAGGGTGATGCCGCAGGCACACTAGGGCAAGGGGAAAGAAGTCAGTCAAGTGGAACTAGTTAGGACACTCCTCCCCTTTCCTCCTTCCTCCTCCTCTCTCTCCTCCCCTTCCTCGTCTTCCTCTATCTCTTCTCCTCCCCTTTCCTCCTTCCTCCTCCTCTCTCTCTTCTCCCCCTTTTCCCTCCTCCTTCTCCCTCTCCTCCCCTTCCTTCTTCCTCCTACTCTCTCTCCTCCCCTCCCCCTTCCTCCTTCCTCCTCCTCCTCCTCTTTCCCCTTCCCCTGGCTCAAAGCAGAAGGCCTGAAAGCAGTCTGAGGGGCTTGCCCTAACAGACCCCACGAGCCTCATTAGAATTGGTGTGAGGGCAGAAGGGTTTCCTGGGGGCCTGCTCGATGGACCTGAGCAGGGCAGCCTTATCTCTCTGTCTCCTCCCAGGTTTGCTGACCAGTGGGGGGCCCGGGCAGCCCTGACCCTCTCCTTCGTGGCTGCTTCTGGGTTCTACCTGCTTCTATCCTTCGCCACAAACGTCCCTCTCCTAGTGGCGTCCCGGATCCCAGCTATGTTCATGCATGCGCTCCCAGGTACTGGGGCTCCCCGAATGTCCTAGGGGTGGGGCGTGGAGGGAGAGAATATCTGGCCCCTAAATCTTATGGCCTGGCTTTGGGAATGGGGGGAGAGGCATGGGAAGGGGGAGGCAGAAGAGGGACAGAGAAGGATTTGGAAAGAGGCTCCTCCTTCCTTAGGCTATCCCAGCTCCCTGCCTTTCCTGGCCCGCTAGAAGGAGCATGGGCCCCAGCTCAGAAAATTACACCCAAATTCCGTCCTGCCACACACTATAGTGTGTGGCCCCAGTCAACACAATTCATAGCTTCTTCCAGCTCTGTTCAGCAACATGTGAATAGGAGAAGGGGAGATAGATGGTGGGGGGCAATCCAGGGCTGGAGTTTGTTGCAGTGTGAGCGGAGATAAGATAAAAGTGAAGGAACTGAGTGGAGGTGATGCTAATGTTGAACTGTTTAATTGTATGGTCAAGATCAGGGAGGGAGAATAATGAAGCCAGAACAGGGTTAAAGGTCTGAGGGAGCACTGGAGGGCAGAAGAGTTATAGCAGGGACCAAAAAGACATTTCGGAGAGAAACATAGGGAGACATGGGATGATAGGGATGGCTTTCTAACCCTAAATTGGTTATCCTATGGTAGAAGTCAACAAATACTTATTGTCTCCAACTCTGTCCTGGCTAGACTGCAGAGGAGACAGAGGTGGAGTGTACCCGGACTCTGCCCTAAGACAGCTTCCAGTTTGGGAAGACGGGAGGAGCAGACCCAGGCCTTCACCTCAGAAAGCTTATGCTCTAGGGAAGACAGAGGAAAGGCAGCCCCAAACCTTGGCCTTGGGGACCTAGCGCTGTAGGGGAGACAGAAGATATAGACCCAGGCTCTCTCCTAGACACTGGCTTCAGAGAGCTTATCATCTGATACAGGCAGAGGAGAAGCATCCTCAAGCCTTGGTCTGAGGGAAATGAGATGCCTAGCATTTGTAGCGGCCCCAGTCAGCGCAAGCCATGACAATCCAGGGCAAGATGGAACTGGCTGATTCTACTCTCTTCGTGCGGAGCCAAAACGGTGGGATAAGGCAGGAACTCACCTGGGCTGTCCCAAATTCACTTCCAAACAATGATAAAATAACACCTCAAAATGAATTTTGGAGTAGTAAAACCAGCAAAAAGACAGGGTGATAAAATTTTCCAGCCCAAGACAACTTAGAAGGCCAGCAGAAAAAGTTTGTCTCACTCAGGTAAAAGGGGAAAGCGGTTCAGTGCAGGTGGTATCTGAGCAAGCCAGCAGTGAGAGCCTGTGGTCCAGCCCAGGTCAGTGAGGAGGCCCTGCAGCACAAGTGCAGAAAGCCAGCAGAATATCAAGTTAGCTGTGGGGCTTCAAGCCCCCAGCACAGCACACCAGTGGCCTGCCTCTGTGACCCCAGTGCAGCAGGTGAGTGGCTAGTGGCCAGGCCCTGGTGCAAGAAACTTGGGACAGTGCCCTCTCCACTCCAGGAGCAGAGTTCAACTTCAAAAGCCACAAAATATTCAGGGGAAATGAGCAAAGAAAGGCACCTGACCCTAGAAAGTTACTGTGGCGACAGGGAAGATCAAAACACAAACTCAGAAAAGGAAAACAACGTCAAAATGCCTATACGCAAAGCCTCCAAGAAAAACGTAGACTGTTCTCACAGGCCCCAAAAGTCCTCCCAGAAGAATTCAAAAAGGATTTTAAAAATCAAATGAGAGAGGTAGAAGAAAAACTGGGAAATGAAATTAAAGTAATGCAAGAGAATCATGAAAAAAGAACAGCTTGGTAAAGTAACACAAAAAAAAATGGGGAAAGTTGTACAAAAACTGGCTGAAGAAAACAACCCCTTAAAAAGTAGAATTGGCCAAATGGAAAAGGAGGTACAAAAGCTCACTAAAAATAATTCCTTAAAAATTATAATTCGGCCAGTGAAAGCTAACAACTCCATGAGACATCAAGACTCCATCAAACAAAATCAAAAGTATGAAAAAATAGAAGAAAATGTGAAACATCTCATTGGAAAAACACTTGACCTAGAAAATAGATCTGAGAAAGATAATTTAAGAATTATCGGACTATGTGAAGGACATGATCAAAAAAAGAGCCTAGACATCACGTTTCAAGAAATTATCAAGGAAAACTGCCTTGATATGTTAGTTCCAGAGGGTAAAATAAAAATTGAAAGAATCTGCCAATTACCTTCTGAAAGGGATCCCAAAATGAAAACTCCCAGGAATATTATAGCCAAATTCCAGAGCTCCGAAGTCAAATCAAAAATACTGCAAGCAGCCAGAAAGAAGTAATTCAAATATCATGGAGCCACAGTCAGGATTACAAAGAATTTAGCAGCTTCTACATTAAAGGATCAGAGGGCTTGGAATATGATATTCCAGAAGGCAAGGGGGCTAAGATTAAAACCAAGAATCACCTACCCAGCAAAACTGAGCATAGTCCTTCAGGCAAAAAATAAATATTTAATGAAATAGAAGACTTTTAAGCATTCCTGATGAAAAGACCAGAGCTGAGTAGAAATTTTGATTTTCAAATATAAGAATTAAGAGATGCATAAAAAGATAAACAAGAAAGAGAAAACAAAAAATTCAATAAGGTTAAACTGTTTACAATCCTCCATGAAAAGATGATGCTTGTGACTCTTAACAACTGTATCACCATTAGGGCAGTTAGGAGTATATTTACATAGACAGAGGGTGCAGGTATAAATTGGCTTTGATGGGATACCCCCTCCCCAAAAAATTAAGGGGTGAAAAAGAGGATTGCATTGGGAGAAGAGGGAAGGGAGAGGTAGAATGGGGCAAATTATCTCACACAAAGAAACATGAAAGGCCTATTACAGCGAAGGGGAAAATGGAGGAGAGAGGGTACTGTTCAAATCAGAATTGGCCCAAAGAAGGAATAACATATACATTCAGTTGGGTATAGAAATCTATCTTACCCTATAAGGAAGAAGGAGGAGGGGCAGCTAGGTGGTGCAGTGGACAGAGCACCAGCCCTGAAGTCAGGAGGACCTGAGTTCAAATCCGGCCTCAGACCAAACACTTGACACTTACTAGCTGTGTGATCCTGGGCAAGTCACTTAACCCCAATTGCCTAAATAAATAAATAAAAGAAGGAGGGGAGGAGGGTAAGAAAGAGGGGCAAGACTGATAGAAGGGAGGACAGATTGCAGGAGGTGGTGGTCAGGAGCAAAATATTGGTGAGGAGAGACAGCGTGAAAGGAGAGAGAGAAAGAGAAGGGTAAACAGTAAGATGAAAGGAAATACACAGTTAGTGATAACTGTGAATATGAATAAGATGAACTGAGCCTATAAAATGGAAGTAGATAGCAGAGCAAATTAAAAATTCAGAATCCTACAATATATTGTTTACAAGAAACACACCTGAAGCAGAGAGACATGCACAAAGTAAAGGTAAGGGCTAGTGCAGAATCTGTAATGCTTCAGCCAAAGTTAAACCAAAAAAACCGCAGAGGTAGCTACCATGATCTCAGACAAAGCAAAAAAAAAAAAAAAAGATCTAATTAAAGAGATAAGGGATGAAATTACAACTTGTTTAAAGGTATCAAAGACAATGAATCAATACTAAACATATGTGCAACAAATGGTAGAGCATCCACATTTTAAAGAAATTAAATAAGTTACAGTAGGAAATAGACAGCAAAACTATACTAGTGGGGGACCTCAACCTCCCCCTCTCAGAACTAGATAAATCTAACTACAATATAAGCAAGAAAGAAGTTAAGGAGATGAGTAGAATTTTAGAAAAGTTAGATATTATAGACATATGGAGAAAACTGAATGGAGAAAGAAAGAAATATACCTTTTTTCTCAACAGTATGTGGCACCTACACAAAAACTGGCCATGTGTTAGGGCAAAAACAAAACAAAATCCTCAGAATCAAATGCAGAAAAGGTGGAAATAGTAAATGCATCCTTTTCAGATCATAATGTAATAAAAATTACGTTCAATAAAGAGCCATGGAAAAATAGATAAAAATTATTGGAAATTAAATATTCTAATCCTAAAGAATGAGTGAGTCAAGGAACAAATCATAAAAACAATCAAAAATTTCATTAAAGAAAATGAGAACAATAAGACAACATACCAAAATTTATGGAATGCAGCCAAAGAAGTACCTATGGGAAAATTTTTATCTCTAAACTCCTATATCAACAAAATAAAGAAAAAGCAGATCAATGAATTGGGTATACTGCTAAAAAAAGCTAGAATAAAAACAAATTAAAAATTCCCAATTAAACACCAAGTTGGGAATCCTGAAAATCAAAAAAGGGATTAAGAAAATTGAAAGTAAGAAAGCCATTGAACCAATAAATAAAATTAAGAGCTGGTCTTATGGGGAAAAAAAATCAATAAAATGGATAAGCCATTTGTTAATTTGATAGAAAAAAAAAGTAAGGAAGGAAACCAAATTATCAGTATCAAAAATGAAAAGGGTGAATTCACCATCAATGAAGAGAAAATTAAAGCAATAATTAGGCACCATTTTGCCCAATTATATGACAATAAATCTGATGACTTAAGTGAAATGGATGAATATTTATGAAAATATAAATTGCACATATTAATAGAAGAGGAAATAGAATGTTTAAATAACCCCATCTTGGAAAAAGAAATTGGGGGCAGCTAGGTGGTGCAGCAGATAGAGTTCCCACCTTAGAGTCAGGAGGACCTGAGTTCAAATCCACCTCAGACATTTGACACTTACTAGGTGTGTGACCCTGGGCAAGTCACTTAACTCCGATTGCCTCACCAAAAAAAAAAAAAAAAGAAAGAAAGAAAGAAAAGAAAAGAAAAAAAATTGAACAAGCCATCAATGAACTCCTTAAGAAAAAATTCCCAGGGCCAGATAGATTCACAAGTGAATTCTACCAAATATTTAAAGAACAATTAATTGGGGCAGCTAGGTGGTGCAATGGATAGAGCTCCAGCCTTGGAGTCAGGAGGATCTGAGTTCAAATCTGGCTTCAGACACTTG